GGTGAGCGAAGGCGACTGTACTGTTCGATGGTCGCGATCAAGAAGGGAGGTGTTGCTGCATACGGTGCGATGAAGGCATTGTGTGCTGAATATGGTGTGATGCAGCAAGCAGCATCGCTCATATGGCAACGTGGTTAGTCTACGGAGGCAACTTGGGCTATGCTGATGTGTCGGCGCGAAAGAAGGGAAACTGTGGCCGCAAGCGAACAACTACTCTGGCCGACGTGAAAGCTTCCGTCAAGGCCGCCGATCCGTACCATCGCTCGACATTGCGTGCTGGCCGAGTCCACATGTACATCGCGTCGACAACGCTGTGGAGGCTCGTCAAGACCAAGAAGATTTAACGACGCGCAAGCCACGTGAAGCCCATGCTGACGGACAAACACAAGGCCGAGTGGGTGGCGTGCGCTTGCTCGTTCCTACGTACGGACGTGACGACAACTCGTGTAGCACGAAATGTTCGGGTGCAGATTGATGAGAAGTGGTACTTTGTGACGCAAGACAACCTAAGCTACTACCTGTGGCATGATGAAGTGCTCCCTGTACGCAAGTGCATCGAAGCGGCACTTTACGAAGGTCATGTCCTTGACTACGGTTGCAAGACCACGCTTTAGCGGCAAGTGCGAAGGGATGTGGTACAGTATGCGTCAAAATGATAGGCCACGCTCATAGTGTGGGCCAATCAAGCTAAAGAAAGGCGATAAAATGCAGGACTTTCATCCAATCAAAACCAGTTTTAATGAGGATTGAGCAGGAACAAAGGCTGATGCAACGAGTCAATTGTCCTTCGAGAGAAGCCGAGAAGACCCACGAATTCAAAAAAAAAAGTGGCGCGAAAAAATGATAGGCCACTACTTCACTTTGCCTAAAACAAGAGCTGATAAGAGAAGATAATCATTTAACAACTTTCTACATACCTGCCTCGACTGTCCAAGGGCTCCCACGTGCCCTGAAGACCCTCATCAGCGAGACTTTTGATGGGACGGGCGTCAAAATTCACTGAGGTCGAGCACGCTCAAATACTGGCATTCCACACTGCTGGTTGGACCCCTGGTGCCATTGGTAACGAGATTGGTTGCTCCCGAACGGTGGTCCGAAACTACCTGGCGAATTTACGTGGTTACGGGAAAGCAAAGTCCACGGGAAGACCAAGCAAACTGTCCTCGACTGCCTCGCGGCTGCTTTTTCGTGAAGCTGCAAAGGGCAAGATGTCTTGCCGCAAGCTCAAAACCTGCCTGGATCTTCCTATTTCCTTGCGACGTGTTCAAGCACTCCTCCAAGCCCATCCAAAATTCCAATTCAAGAAGCGATTGGGGCAGCCACCGTTGACCAATGCCCACCGTGATGCAAAGATCCAGTTTGCATCGCAAGCCATCACGAATCATCAAGATTGGGATAATGCATCTTCTCGGATGAAAAGAAGTTTAATCTTAATGGTCCTGATGGCTGGCAATGCTACTGGCATCACTTGGATCATGAGGAGCAAGTCTTTTCCCGCCGTCAATTTGTTGGGGGGTCCGTCATGGTTTGGGGGGCATTCTCATCGAAGGGCCTTTCCGAACTGAAGATTCTCGAAGGCAAGCAAAGAAGCTACGAGTACACAGTAACACTCTCCGACTACATGTTGCCTTTTGCTCATCAGCATTTTGGCTTTGACTTCACGTTCCAACAAGACAATGCTTCCATTCATGCAAGCCGCGAAACCATGGAGTGGTTTGACGACAATGGTGTCAAGGTTATGGAGTGGCCTGCACGCTCTCCAGACCTTAATCCAATTGAGAAACTTTGGGCCATTCTTCCTCGGCGAGTTTATCCTGATGGTAAGCAGTATTTGGATCGTAAATCACTTGTTGCTGCGATTCAGGAGTCTTGGGCTGAAATCAGTCCTGACATCATCGCTAATCTCATCATGAGTATGCCAAAGCGTTGCTTGGGTGTTATTGAGAAGAAGGGCAACAAAACCAAGTACTAATGGCACTGATCTCTAAGCTGATTGGAGAAATTTTGACTTGTGGCCTATCTTTTCTTCACCCCATAAAATCAGCAAATTGCCAGATATTGAAACCCTCTATGGTGGAATGATATTCATCAAGCTTAGAAAGAGAAATCATGGACCAGGTAGGTGAAACCATGACGAGTTGAACAATACAACACGCCACAATTTGAGGAATCACACGAAAAGTGTGTGGCCTATCTTTTTGGCGCACACTTTATGGCAAGATCGGTACCTGGGCTTTTATGGAGACGAAGTTCGCTCAACAGTGACTTCGAAACCGTGCCAGTGGCGATCCTTCTCAGTGCCAAGGGTGGGAACCAAAGACATGTACCGACACTACCTTATCGAGCACGTAATCCCATCGATCAAGGTCAAGTGGTCTGGCTGACGCGCAGATGTGATTTGGATCCAGCAAAGACAACCCACAGCCACATGTCGCAATGAACGATCCTGCTGTCGTAGCGGCGGGCCGTTCGGATGGGTAGAACATTCAGCTTGTGCTGCAGCCCCCATGAGTCTGGACTTCAATGTCCTGGATCTTGGTCTCTTCAACGCTATCCATTGTTTGCAGCATCGAACGTTGGCTAGCTGCATCGACGAGCTCGTGTCTGCGTTCGAGTAGCGTTCAATTATCTCATCCATATTTGCTGAACAAGACCTCCATGACATTGCAAAGCGTCTTGGAAAATGCATTGAAAGTTGATGGCGACAATTGCTTCAATCTGCCACATTCGAAGCAGGACAAGCTGTCAAAAGAAGGCAAGTTGATTATGTGGCCTGTGTGCAATGTTGGTACGATTGCGGCTATTGACGCACTACAGGCACGACTTCAATGTGACGAGCACATGAACCGACTTAGTGAAATGCATAACTTGTCATAACATGTCATGTTGGATTGGGTTGTCCATGAATGTGGAGGAACTCAGTCGTGTGTGTGATGTGATTGTCGAGATGGCTTTAGATAATGACGACTAATACTTGCAGTACATCATGGTGGAGTTGGTCGTATAGTCTTGATTTTGAATAAAAATATGACTGTTTTCAGATTTTGAGTGCATGAGCGGACACAAATTTCAAGTGTAATTACACTCTACAATGCTAGTAGTAGTATTTTGGAACGGAAGAAGTATCTCAGAGACTGCTTGGATTTAGAGTATTCTATCACTACCTCTGTTCCATATTACTGCCGACATATGACTTTACGATGACCCCAAAAACGAATTTTTGGTCAAAATTGACGAAACAAAGCCCCAATGATGTATCAAGGAATTCTGAACAAGGTTTCTATTGAACGAAACGACCGAAAATGATATCTTCGGCCCAAATAACAAATTCGTCAACTTGTTTCCGAATAAAAATACAAAATGTGAGTTACTGGAATTATAATATGGGGACTGTCTATTTCCGGAAATCCGGATAAGAATGAAATGCCGTTTGACAGTGGTCGAGGGTGTCGGGGGGACCAGGACTAGGGTTACTAGATTATATTTCATTTGACAGGTGGATACAATTCCCAAATCAAATCATACTCCATTAAATTCTGGAGACGCATATATTATTACTTAGAGGTATACGTACTAGACGGTATAGCATTGAAATCGTATGGATCAGGCACTTGATTGAATCATTATTTTGGTTAGATTGCTCACGTGGTAGAGCTCCCGCTTGGTGTCCAGGCGGTACAGGGTTCGATCCCTGCTGATGACGACGATAACCCAGATAGTCTGTGTGCGCTGGGACCTCAGCTCGTATATCAGCGAACAGCGTAGAAGAAAATGAATTGTTATTTATTGCTCGAATATTTCTAATTCCATACAATAACCAAATTTTGTAATCCAATTTTTGAAAAAATACAAAGAATTATAAATCTTCATTATTGTCGCTTGTGCCAGAAGATGAGTCGGAGGTGAGATCGTCAGCACTGTCACTTTCACGGGCAAGAAACAACTCGTAGATGTTGTCGACGAGCTTCTCAAAATGGCGAATGCAGTTACAGATCATAGCCGAAGGAAGCTGTTTGAACGCGTCGTCAAGACGAGCTCGGACGTCGGCAAAGGTAGTGTCCACTTTGTACTGAACACCAACATCACCCTTGGCCTTTGCCCAAACCATTTCAATAGGTTGCAAGTCAGAGTGATGGGGTGGCGTGAACAACACGTCATGACCACGGTCGCGGGCCATCGTGACGACCATGGGCTCTACGCGCGCGGACAGAACAGGTTTAAAACGAGCCCATATCGTCTTCTTGAGGTCATGACTCTCAACGTCCACTCCGTAGCGCTGACAAGCAGCCAGCAAATCAGCCTTGCGCCACTTCCCGCGAGGTGTGTCTGCTGGCAGACCACGATGTTACTTTGCGTTGCCCATCACGAAGACCACGCCCATCTTGCCATGGAATTCGACTTCGTCCATTGCTGCTTTGAACCACTTCACGAAGTACGTATGGTCGAACATACCATGATAAACTTTGGGATCGTCCTTGACTCTCTTGCTTCCCTCGAAAATGTCTAGACCAATGAGTTGACGTCGGCTTCGTCGCCGGACATGATGCCAGCGATAAAGCACTATCGACGGCCCTTGTGCTTCTCCTTCAGTGGGGCATCATCACTTGGATCGTAGAGGTTGTCGTCGTGGCGTGCGTAGTGGTGATGAATGTAGCTCTCGTCCAAGTAAACAACAGGGGTGTCCGGAGACAAATCTGTCATGCGATCGATGTATACGTCCCGCAGCGCAGCGTGTGCACTGGATACCTTGTAGGTGGCATGGCCACGTTGTTTTCCTCGCTTGAAGCCCAGTTTTTCCAAGTAGACTTGAACTAAGCTAAGACTTGTGGCTGTGCTGATCTTGTTTGTGTGTCGTACGCTATGATGCCAGCCTCCAGCAACATCACCATAACGTCCTTAGCGACTGTGCGTACACGAGTCAAGCTGCGTTTACGAATGAACTGGCGCACCATAGAAGTCACGGCAAAGGTCCGAGGAATGCGTGTGGATCCTTGATTTTGGTTTGACGGAGGAGGCACAGCAATGGTGCTCTTTGTACGCACGTACTCGGACCAAACTTCTTTTACGACTTTGGGACTGCGGCCAAGAAGGCGTGCGATTGTAGGTGTCACATCACGACAGTTGCTGCGACGAAGTTCAGCGTGAAGACGAAGAATATCAAGTCGTTCTTCATTAGTTAAGCTTCTTGGGCGATCCCGTCGAATGAAGTTTGTGATTTCGTCGTAGTCGTCTTCGGTTAAGGTTGTCATTATGGTGCTTGATGCCTTCTTTGACTGGCACAAAGTTACTGCAGCAGGGTATCAATTACCAGAGGTTTTTCGTCAAGTCCATGTGAATTTAAATTTAACCTTGTGAAAAATGATTTGATTAATTGTCACAGGCTCTTAGTTGTGGATGTGAAATTTAGTTAGATTTTCGAGTTTGAACAAACATATCTCGCAGGATATTCGTTTTTAGGCCTGACGTCTATTGAAAGTTGCATTTAGGACGTCGAGACGAGTGTACTGTACACACGAAATTTCTCAGAAAACTTTGAAAAATTGCTCAAGTTGTGACTTCTGGTCCCCTCGATGCCCTCGACCACTGTCAATTTGTTGGCCTTGGTCGACGACAAGAAGCGATTCATGGCGTACTCGCTGCGTGCAGGGTCGCAGAACGATTGCATGTTGTTCCGGAACTCTGTCCTTGGTCAATATAAGATCATTTCCTCTGGTGGTTTTATCCTCGCTGACGCTGGATTTACTCTGT